TTGGAAGGACTAGTACATTTTTTCTTTTACTAGTCCTGTGGACTAGTGAACTAAAATGGTTAGTGTCTAACCCTCGTTAGGATTAGGGTTAGGGTTAGGGAGTAGGCGTAGGCGACTCCCCAGACTCGTTAGTGGAGTAGGCGAGGTACGGTCCGGCATATTAGATAGTACCAGGGTACGTTCCGGCAGTACCCCGGGGGACATAGATCCTCTCAGCTTCATTAGGTTGTGCGAAAGCTCTTAACACACCACTCTACATAATATAAACATGAATTCAGTTAAATAACTTTAATATTTTTCACCATTAGGCATTAATCATTATTTCACTTTAATCATAGTATAAATACTATATTTCTTCTATAATACTGTGAATACATAGTAAATACTATTCAACAATCAGCGGCAACCTGAAAAGTACCCCGGTATACTAACAGTTCTTGTAAAACTGGCAAGTCCGCCCGGTCCAGTTTTGCCGGACAAGATATTATTTACGATGAAAAGAAAGGACTCTAACTTCTAAGCCTAAGGAGTAGGCCTATGCTATATAGCCTATACCTTGTCCACCTGTGGCAAACCTTGAGCCATCTGGGTGAATATCAATAGAGAATATTGGTTTTCCATCGTGATTCACCCAACTCGGCTTGAGCAGCTTCATTTCTACGGAAAATGTTTAACTGTGTGGACAAAAGCGAAAACGGCTGCATTTAATGCGGTCCAAATACTACGGTACAGGGGTTTCCATCTTGAATTTATATTTGACTATAGGTGGCGCTGCTCATTGGCGGACTTTTCATGGACGAACACAATCAACGGTAGCAATCAAGAGTGGACGGAAACGACAGGTGAGAACAAACTTTTTCAGTTTTTATTATACTGAGAGCAATAGGATATATGCCATTGTATTATATCTGTTGGACACAATGTTGTAAGGGTGCAGTGTGCTGGCTTTGTTTCATACATGATACAGTGTACACGTGCTTTGACTGTACACAGGCCCTTGGAGGCTCAAGTTTCGAAAAAGTATAAGACTATATTATATATATTAAGAGCGAAGCTTCTAATATAGTCTTATACTTTTTCGAAACTTGAGCCTCCAAGAGCCTGTGGACTGTACTACTAGTACTAGTACTACCAGTACCAGGGTCCAGGAGTAAGTCCTATATTATCTTACTCCTGCTACTACTGATGAGAGGGCCTATGCTCCCCTGGGTACTGCCGGAACGTACCCTGGTACTATCTAATATGCCAGACCGTACCTCGCCTACTTCACTAACGAGTCTAGGGAGTCGCCTACGCCTACTCCCTAACCCTAACCATAACCATAACCCTAACCCTAAATCCTAACCCTAATCCTAACCCTAACTATATCAAATAGTGACCAGGGTACGTTCCGGTATACCGGACCGTACCCAGGGTACGTTCCGGCAGTACCCTGGGGGACATAGACCCTACGAGCACTACTACTAGTACTAGAGTAGTACCTACTACAGCTACTACTACGTACTACTACTACTACTAGTACTACTAGTACTAGTAGTAGTAACTACCAGTACTACTACTACTAGTACTACTAGTACTGTAGTGATGAACTAAACCGACCAGGCTCTCCGACTGTTACACGAGTAGTATTAAGCGAGAGGGGAACTTGTGCCAAGTTGTGGCTAGTGATGAACCAGATGAGACGGGATAAGCGTTGCCGAAAGGAGGTGTTGATCAGAAGCGCTGTGCGCAGATCTTGCGCGCAGTTCCGCGGCAAGGCGCACGTGACCGCGGGAACGTCCTACGACAGTATGCAGCGCTGGCAGCTATGGATCCGTGCGCCAAATCCATAGGGCGGCGCACAGATCCATAGCTGCCAGCAAACAGTCGGCAATTTTAGCGGGGGACACAGAGGGCAGACATTTGGGACGTGGGAGCAACTCGCGACTTACATGGGGGGTCGTACACATGGGGGGGGGCGAGAGCAAAGCTTATGATTTCGCCGTGGTTCCATTTCCGTGTGGTCTTACGCGTTTTCACTATAAGTTCCAAACATCAGAGAAATCGGACCATTATTTAATGGGAAATTTTATAAAATAGTGATACGAAATAGTACGCGGATTGTGCGCCCAGTTACCTCTTTGAAATCATACGCTCTTTAAAAATCGCCATTCGCTGCATTTCTCCAGAGCTCCGCCCACTTTAAAAATAGTGTTAGCATTGTGGCAGTGGTATCCTGAGTGTACGAACGAGTTAGTATTTTGATTTTCGATTTTCGATGACAGCAGTAAGACGAAAGTGGAGCATTTCAATACAGCTTACTTCATTAAAGCATTATATGTAGTATGTAATCATTTCCTGAGAGTTTCTATATATAAACAATTAAGACATTATCTGACATCTCTATCATCTATGTGACCTTACCTTATATCATACGCACCCCTAGTCCGCAAATGCAGACGTTATAACTCCGCTTTGCTAATATGAGGGTGTGGGTTTATCATGACCCCCATTACTGGGGTCTGCGTCGGCTCGGACTAATGCCCCACTGCCATTGTCATTGTCAGTATGAGCAACTAGCTAGAGTAAATAAATTGCTTGCTATATAAGCAGGGGTTGTCTAGTAATAGTATAGGGGTATTCTAACCCTAGCAAAGACCGTTTCTTGGAGCTAGTAGTAGTACTAGCTCTAGTACTATACTATATATATAGTATTAGTACTAGTAGTAATAGCTGTAGTACTATAGTAATAATTAGTAGTAAGAGTACTAGTAGTCTAGTAGTACTAGTACTAGTAGTAGTAACTAGTAGTAGTACTAGTACTTAGTAGTAGTAACTAGTAGTAGTACTAGTACTAGTAGTAGTAGTAGTAACTAGTACTAGTACTAGTAGTAGTAGTAGTAGTAGTACTGGGGGGGGGGAAGTAGCTAAGTATAGCCCTAGTACTAGTAGTAGGTACTAGGTATATACATACATATTATACAACATCATATATATATATAGGATGTGTTGTATATATATCTATGGTATATAGTAGACTAGTTCTATGAATATGAAGGAATGCACTAATAACACTGGTCATTTCACCTGTAAAGGACAAACGGCAACTGAATGAAGTTATGGTAAAACTCACAACGTGATGGTGGTGATGGTGTGTATATAGCGTAGTTACGCCATCTATCGGACGGCATATGTGCTAGACTGACGTTTGTACGGGCCGTATACCGGTCATGTATAAACATGGGAAATTTGCCCAGCAACAGCGCTCGGCTCGCTGGTAGGCGCACGTGACGAGACACGTCTCGGTGATTGGCAGTCGCCGTGGGCGTGTCTCGACGGAAAACGTTTAAAATTGTTAACGGTTTTTTACAGCAAACCAAGCGCGCCGACTAGCCAAACATTTTGTACGAGCATTTGTAGGAAATGTGTACCTACCTGGGTACTGAAAGCCGTCGTGCAATGGCCAGAACTGCTGAACGCACTTATTATACGGCTTTGGCATTTACTAGGACCCGTTGAAGCTTATAGCTCCTGGTGGAAAGGCAGCGAATAAGTCGAAGTTTGCCGCTGCGCGGCGTTTGCGCGCTTCGCGCGGATATCCGGGCTGCAGATCGTCTAGCTTAGCTAAAGTGCAATCAACTTTTACTGAGTACTCGACGTCAACAACATCAAATGCGCAGCAGTGCAGGTGCGTTACATAGAATAGTACCGGTACTATTCTATATTATTTTATATATTCTATATTCTACATCTATATATTATATACTGGCAGAGAATCGTTGTCACGCATAATATGAGTAACTATGCATAGTATTCTCTGATTGCGATGTATTCGCATCTTAATCACTGAGTAATATATATACATGTGACAATCGTTCAATTAATCGTTCAACTTCAAGGGGGTGTGTATCCAATGACAATGTGATAGACCGGAAGCATTAAAGATCATGCATCAAAATTTGCGAGGCACATACCCCCACAATTTTGCGGCACAAAACTGTTCATGGTCGTACAGTAGGCACGTTCTTCCTACAGGCCCTTGAGTTAGGGTACAAATTAACTAGCTTTTATTTTACATGGTTGGATAAAGCGGTTCGCTTGTACTTAACTTAAGTTTGCATCTTAGGAAGCACATACTGTTGCTGTATGTGCTGCTAGCTCATGTCTACGTTCTGACCCCCCCCCCCCCAGTCATATTTTAATTTCACCATCGCTGTTGTCGTCATCATCATTGTATTCCATCAGTAACTCTAATGTAATTCTAAACAAGTCACTGCTGGATTGCCTATCCTAATGTAGACATGGCATTAGTATAGATGGCTTGAAGTGGCTTGGAAGTGGTTTATCTGTTCGTAGCAGTTAATCTAAGCTCCACTGATGAAAGTATTTTTTCTCACATGATTCTGGACGTAATGCGGCCATGATGCCGAGGTGCGCCGAGGATTGACATTTTGTGTCTTCCAATCACAGCCTACGCCGCACCTCTCTATAATATAATATAAGGTGGGGACCCATCACAATACCAAATCGGCGATCTCAGGTACTAGGGCATTCTGCTAGGCTAGAACGGTTTCCTACGATAAAGTTTGGCACAAAAACGAAAATAGCACGCCGTTTAGCGCACTGCGCTACGTCCTTCTGTTGGATTTTGGCATCTCCGTAATCAGCATAAGCCCCGCCTTCTTTGTTGATGGGCATGAATGGGGCGTCAACGACGTGACCCGTTACTGCGTGTAGGTGTTTGGCGAGACTGTTTGCTTTTTGTAAATAATGAAAGGCCCGGCCGATGCATTTCGCACCGAAGTGGAAAAATTAGGCATTTTTACCCGCTTTCGGAAGTGAACGAGTGCGTCATTCATTGAACATTGAAGTTTTTCTTAAAATTAAATAACTCCGAAAATCCATAACCGCGCTACTCGATTGTTTTAGCCAATGAACGTAGCTGTGTTTGTGACGTCTTGCCCGCGCTTTATGCTTGGCTTAGCGGGCCTCAAAATGGATATTGGAGGCAGGCACCTCGCAACCCGCGTGTTTGTTTACATATATTATAGCTTTGTGACGTACGTTACAGTGTTTGGGAGTTCTGCGATGATAACCTCGTAATTTCTCACATTTCTTAAGGTGCATTGAACATTTTACCAATTTAGTGGTGTCAGTTAGTCACGGATATGTCACAGTAAGTACTAACCGTATATGTTTCACATACGTTCACCTATTTTGCACACAGGCAGTCGATCATTGTGAAAAATTGTGTGAAGATTTATTTTTATTGAGACGTTCCAAGCTGCCTGTGGTACAAGGATAGAGAGCATGGCGAGATTGACAACTATGTAGCATAACACATCGGCTTTGCTCTCACAACCATGCTCTCTATCCTTGAGCCCTTTCATCAGTCTTGTACGTCAATGCACGTGCGCCAAGAGCCATAAACTCAACACAATTTCATCTCTGTTATTGTTTATACGCCTGAATGCGTGATTCATCAGGGAGGGGGTGCATGTAAGAGGGAGACATTTAATTTGGGGTTCCAAAAAACACAATTCCACTTGACAATTTCAGGGGCCATTTCAATTGGAAGCTCTGCATAATGGACCACCAACAAGTCCTTTGACTGACTAGTCAAAAAATTCAAAGGTCTGCATATTGCTCTTATTTAGCCGCCGATAGTTCTGATTTAGAACAAAGTCTTCATTGTTATCTCCTAAAACTACAGACCATTCGCTGACCGCTGTGGAGAAATGCGCCAGGCC